CTAGAGCCGGCCCTGGCAATACAGGTGGTTGGTGTGCAAGGGGGTATGGTGGGGATGGTGAGAGGCACTACTTTGGGGGTGGCGGGTGTCCCAGGCTGACATCCTGACATGCTTCAGTAGGATTTGGTATTTTTATTACTCACACATTTATTTTCATCAAAAATGGGTTTGTGCTGGGAATAAAAAAATGGTGAAAATTATGTCTCCCTCCACCTCCAGTTAGAAATTCCATGATGTGACCATGGTTATGGCCACCTCCCTCTGTGCCCCTTCCACTTAGATGGAAAACACTGACCTCCAGTCTGTCCTTGGGGGCACAAGAAATGTTTTACAGCAACAAACCTTCTGATACTATCACCCACACTGTTTTATTTGCATTAATCTGTAGGAATTTGATTACCAGATGTTACTGTCGAACACAGAGTAACAATGAACAGGGCCGGCTCTAGGTTTTTTGCCGCCCCAAGCAAAAAAATTTTTGGCTGCCCCCCACCCCAGCCCTGGGCTCTCTCTTCCTCCCCCTTCCGCACCCTCTGCCACCCCAGCCCTGGGCTCTCTCTTCCCCCCCCACCCGCACCCCCTGCTGCCCCAGCCCTGGGCTTCCCTCCACCAGTGATGACTCTGCCCGCTCCCCCCTCACCTCCAATCAGTCCGGTGCTGGCAGGGTCGGGGTAAACAGCGGGGCTCCCGGGCTGCGCTTCAGCCCAGGGTCCCTCCATCCAGGGCTCCCGCCTCCAGTACCGGCCGGGACCAGGGAGGGCAGAGCCGGGGGACCGCCCCGGCAGGTGGCTGAGGAGCCAGGGCAGGGTAGTCCCAGAGGCAGCGGAGTCCCGGAGAGCGGGATGCAGGCCCGGCATGGCAGCGCCTCACCCTCTATGGCCCCGCTGCTGCTGCTGCTTCTGGCCGCCCTGCCACAGTCCCTGGGCGGCTTGGGCCACTTCGCCCAGCCCCGGCTGCAGCACTGGGGAGCGGCTGCCTGCGGCACCTGCAGACGGCTCCGTGTGCCCCGTGGGGTGTCCCCCAGCCTGAGTGTCCCCCGTTCGAAGCCTGCCCAGCCCAGCCACAAGGTGTGGGCGCTGCTCCCCCGCGGCATGAACCGAAGCGGCTACAGGGCGCCCCCCACACACGACGCGCTGCTGCTGCCAGAGCCGGCTCTAGGCTTTTGCCACCGGAAGCAGAAAAAACAAATGGCCAGAATGCTGCCCTTGAAAATGTGCTGCCCCAAGCACGTGCTTGGTTTGCTGGTCCCTAGAGCCAGCCCTGACAATGAACAACAAGGAATATACACATGGATTTGCATTTTTATTTAGTGGAGTTTGTGCCTTACAGGACAAGACAGCTCTGTGCATTATCAGATGCCATCAATGCTCCTCACATAAGGTGAATGTTAAGTCAACACCACGCAGAAAAAAAAAGCATCTTGTATGTGTCAGTGCTGCACTGCTGTACATGAGAGGGGGATAGAATTCTCCACAACCTCACATTCCTCTTTGTTACATAGACACAGCAGGGGACCATAAACACCCTGCCTCGGTAACTCCATGCAGATTGTCTCCATTGCTTTCCCCCATCAGCCCTGACATATTCAATGGGAGTTTTCAACTTGATATCAGTGGGGGCTCTCTGCCTAAATCTCCTGGGCAGCTTTGAAAACCTTGGCCTCAGTAATGATCTAGGAGTCTCTGCATGTTTTTTTGAAAGCCACATATTGACTGAGTGCTTTGCTCAAGGCTTCCCTTACCTCTCTGTTTCTCAGGCTGTAGATGAGGGGGTTCACCAGGGGAGTCAGGACGGTGTAGCAAAGAGAGAGCACTTTCTTTAGCACTCTCAGTGTATTGAGTGTTGGTAACATGGAGACACTCATTAGGGTTCCATAGAAAATTGTTACCACAATGAGGTGGGAGGAGCAGGTGGAAAAGGCTTTGTGCCTCCCAGTGGTGGAAGGGATTCTCAGGATGGTGGTGATGATGCACACGTAGGATGTCAGGGTTAACAGGAACGGAGGCAGAGTGAATACACAGGCTAGGATGAAATTCAACAACATGATCAGGAGCGTGTCCCCACAGGAAAGTTTAATCAGTGGGATGGGATCACAATACAAATGGTCAATTTCATTTGGGCCACAGAATATGAACTGTGACATGAGTAATATAACAATGGTAATAGCCAAACAACCATTGAACCATGACCCCGCAGCCAACTGGAGGCAAAACCTGGCATTCATCAGAGCTGAATAGTGCAGGGGTTTACATATCGCTAAATACCGATCATAAGACATCACTGCTAGCAGATAGCATTCCGTACCTACCAGACCACCAAAGAAGTACAGTTGTGCGATGCAGCCACTGACTGAGATAGTTTTGTCCCCAGTCAGGAGACTGGCCAGTATCCTGGGGAGGATGGTGGAGGTGTAGCAGATCTCCAAGCAAGACAGGTTCCCCAGGAAGAAGTACATGGGGGTGTGAAGGTGCTGATCAGCCACAACTAGCACAACCATGAGGGTGTTTCCGGCCACAGTTGCCATGTAAATCACTAGAAACAGCAGGAAGAGAAGAATTTGCAGCTCAGGGAGATCTCCGAATCCCAGGAGGATGAATTCTGTGATGGCCGTTTGGTTTCCCCAGTCTCTGTCTGCCATGGCTTGAGTTTAGGAACCAGAAAACAAGCTGTGTCAGTGAATTGGAAGAACATAGAGCTGAAAGTTAATCAAGTGTCAGGAATTCATTCCATGAGCTTTCAAAAACTCCTCCCCCGCTGAAATGTTAAGGCTAAATATAGATTTTAGAGCAAAGTGCCAGGATTCTCAGTCTGAGAACAGATCTTTGGTATCCCTACAGATTCACTCTCTGCCATACCTGAATAATAACTATGATAACAACAGCCCATTTCTCTGGTACCCCAATTAGTGATGTGACTGATCAGACCCCTTCTTGATCTGCTGTCATATCCTGTCTGCTGACATATTGGGGCTTAGCAATGATACTTCAAAGCAGCATTGCACTGGTGGCCATGGGCAGAATCATGCCATGTCTTAGGAGGAGTCAAAATCAATAAATACATCAACTCAAATCTTGGACTGATATTTTCAGTAACATCTAGTGTCCTTAGGCACCGATCTTCTGTTAGAATTTACAGGAGTTAATCTAATAATCGATGTTGGTAAAATCAGAATTTTAGTGTCCTACAGGAAAAGGAATAATTATTTTCACTTCCACAAGAGATAAGTTTATGTCATAAATTATTAAATGGAGTCAGTTCTTCCTTACTTCATGTAATGATGATGATGGTGACATGATGAGGCACTGGCAATGCCTTTTCTGTTTCAGATTCACATTCCCTGTGTTAACTCTGAAGCAATAATAACATACAGCTCTCTTCAGGGTGGATTTTAGGAAAGGGCAAAACCAGGCTGATGTGCAACCCTAACTGGGATGTGACTCTCACACTGCGTAATGATTGAAGGCTGATAATATGGGAACAAGAACGGACCTGGGGAACAAAGATGCTGCCCCTGAAGTCAGAGCGCATCTGGCATGTTCTGAATGTGATCAGGGGACTCACACTGTCCCAGATCCCAGTCAATCGACCATAGCTCCATTGGAGTCGATGGGCCAGATCCCTGGCTGAGGACCTTTCACAGGACATGTATCTCAATTTCCCCATTGTTAAATGGCGCTGTTAACACCAACTGGCTCTGCTGTGAGAAGCTGCAGCCAAAAGTGCCAAAACTCAAAAGTTGCATGCAGTTTTATTGTCGCCAATTCAGTCCTAGGATATTAGAGACGCAAGGTGGGTGAAGTAATAGAGCTGAAGGAGAGCTCTGTTTTGTTCTAAAGCTTGTCTCTCTTACCACCAGAAGTTGGTCCAAGAAAAGACATCACCTCACCCCTCTTGTCTTGCTAATATTCACAAAACATACGCATGCCCTGTCTGGAAGGTGCTATAGAAATGCCATCAGGAAGATGGAGCTCACCTGTAACCACAGGAGAAGCTTGAAGAGATGAGCTCTGATATCTCAGGGTTCAGCCGCCAGGACTCAGGCTGGTTCTTCTCAGTAATTAGACCTCCACCTACCTGAATGGAGGAATTGCTGCCATGACCTGTCTTAGAACACGCTCTCCCCACTCCGTTTACAAAGTGCAGATATCTCCTTATACTTGTATCCTTCTCCGTGGCAGGCTGCATCTCCCTTGAGTCCACCTCCGAAGGGGCTGAGCCTGGGGAGTTGGTGCTGTGTTTTCTGTGCAGACGGTACAAACAACTGTCCTGATGCAACCAACCTCCCACAGCCAGAGGAATTGCCTTTCTGCTCCCTGCTCTATGAGGTCATTGCTCTTCATGGCAGAAATATAACACAGTGCCCATGGAGTGTATGGCCCTGCAGAGACTGTCTCTGCTCAGTAACCTTTACTCATGTAAATTGTCCCGTTGCTCTCAATAGAACAAGTGCATGAATAATAATGGTTGAAATCAGTCAGGTGTGCCAGATTGGGGGTCGAAGCTGTGCAGTTTAACAAACACAGAGAAGATTGAATGTAAAGTAAATTTAATCTGTACTTTGCAAATGAGAGATTTGCATGACAGGAAATCTTTCTATCTTGCGCTCTTTCCCTCTTTCACACACAGACACACACACACAAACCTAATGGAAATATTTCTCCCACAGAACTTGTATGTGATTAGTGCCTGCTAATGTTTATTTATTTATTTCCCAATATTCTCTCCCTTTTGCTGAGCAGCACAGAAATCAGGGCCTTGCCGATTGGTTTGCCGTGGGAGGAGAATCTAGTGATCTGGAGTCTGGTAATTCCTTAGTGTAACTTGTTTATTGACACTATGTGCACCAGTCCTGGAGCAGAGATGGTCACAAATACCATGCAGGGAATCCCATCTTTAAGGAATCTCATCCCCATGCTTCAGGAGCAGGGCTAGCCTGCAGGACCTTTCCCCACACAATGAGTTCAGCCAAGAACCCTAAGGGTGAATGCTGGGTCATCCCCAGTGAGTGGGAGCTGAACAAGGGCAAGGTACGATCCCCCTCTGGATTGCACAGCACCTGCCTGAGGAGTGTATCTTGAAGCTCAGCTCTAGTGCTGTTGCCTGAACTAAATGTTTACATACAGAAGTACCTCAGAGTTACGAACACCAGAGTTATGGACTGACCAGTCGACCGCACACCTCATTTGGAATCGGAAGTACGCAATCAGGCAGCAGGAGATACAATAAATAAATAATGTAGTACTACAGTACAGTACGGTGTTAAACAAAAACTAATTAAAAATAAAGGGAAAGTTGAAAAACAGATTTGACAAGATAAGGCAACCTGTTTCTGTGCTTGTTTCATTTAAATTAAGATGGTTAAAAGCAGCATTTTTCTTCTGCATAATAAAGTTTCAAAGCTGTATTAAGTCAATATTCAGTTGTAAACTTTTGAAAGGGCAACAATAATATTTTGTTCAGCATTATGAACAACCTCCATTCCTGAGGTGTTCTAACTCTGAGGCTCTACTGTATTTCTGATGGGACGCCATCCGGTGGACAGTTTGCTAATCACTATTCCAATCACCTTTGTAGTTCCCATGTAGTTCCTGGTGTGTGCTGAATGGGTTGCTTGTCCATTTCTCTCTGTTGGATTCTCATTTTGGAGACATTCCTGCCTCTCCCAAAGGAACAGAAAATAAATAATTTGAAATGGGAAATAAAATTTCTGGGATTCTCAGTCCTGTGGCAAGTGCCTCCAAATGGAAATATTTTGTTTCAGAAATGCTGCCACTGCAGAGGGACAAAATAACAAAAACCAAGTGCCTAAGCCACTGCCAGCTATTGGGATAGTCTATCAATTACTTTGCTTATTGCTAGGAATAGTTATTTAGTAGATCTTTGCAGTAACTTAGGTTAGTTAAGACAAATTCAGAAGGGAGTAGGGGCGAACCTGACCTTCTGTGCTCTGAACCTAACCTTCTGGGCCATTTTCTTGGAGTATGGGGGTTCAACTCTGTGAAAAACAGGCAGTCTGGAAATATGTACACCTGCCGGACTAATGACCCAAAAACCACAAAACCCGCATCCTGTTTTGGCATGCCTTCTCACCTTTACTTTTACTCCATTTGACCAGCTATGCAATACTCTTGATTGACATGTTTTTGTAATTTGTGGGGTACAAAAGGGGAATTAGGAGTCTGGTTCAAGCAGATCACTTTGTAGACACATCAAGAAGTTCATACCATGGATTTATATAGAGGCAATATGACATTTTCTGTCTAATTATCTATCCCTTTGTTAATGATGCCCAACATTCTGTTTGCTTTTTTGACTGCCACTGCATATTGAGTGGATGTTTTGAGAGAACTATCCACAATGACTCCAAGATCTCTTTCTTGAGTGGTAACAGCTAATTTAGACCACATCATTTCATATGTATAGTTGGGATTATGTTTTCCAATGTGCATTACTTTGCATTTATCAACACTGAATTTCATCTGCCATTTTGTTGACAACTCATCTAGTTTTTAGAGATCCCTTTGTAGCTTCTCACAGTCTGCCTGGGACTTAACTAGCCTGAGTAGTTTTAAATCATCTGCAAATTTTGCCATCTCACAGTTTACCCCTGTTTCCAGATCATTTATGGATATGTTGAATAGGACTGTTTCCAGTACAGACCCCTGTGGGACACCATTATTTACATCTCTCCATTCTGAAAACTGACCATTTATTCCTACCCTTTGTTTCCTATCTTTTAACCAGTTAATAATCCATGAGAGGACCTTCCCTCTTATCCCATGACAGCTAATTTTGTTTAAGAGCCTTGTGGTGAGGGACCTTGTCAAAGGTTTTCTGAAACTCTAAGTACACTATATCCACTGGATCCCCCTTGTCCACATGCTTGTTGACCCCCTCAAAGAATTCTAGTAGATTGGTTAGGCATGATTTTCCTTTACAAAAACAATGTTGACTCTTCCCCAACAAATTATGTTCATCTATGTATCTGACAATTTTGTTCTCTACTATAGTTTCAACCAGTTTGCCCGGTACTGAAGTCAGGCTTACCAGCCTGTAATTGCCGGGATCACCTCTGGAGCCCTTTTTTAAAATTGGCGTCACATTAGCTATCCTCCAATAAGTTGGTACAGAAGCTGATTAGAATGATAGGTTTCAGAGTACAGTTAGTAGTTCTGCAATTTCACATTTGAGTTCCTTCAGAACATTTAGGTGAATACCATCTGGTCCTGGTGACTTATTACTGTTTAATTTATCAATTTGTTCCAAAACCTCCTCTAATGATACCTCAATCTGGGACAGTTCCTCAGATTTGGCTCCTAAAAAGAATGGCTCAGATTTTTTTTCAGAGATTCTAGGACTGGAAGGGACCTCGAGAGGTCATCAAGTCCAGTCCCTTGCCCTCATGGCAGGACCAAATACTGTCTAGACCATCCCGGATAGACATTTATCTAACCTACTCTTAAATATCTCCAGAGATGGATGTTCCACAAACTCCCTAGGCAGTTTATTCCAGTGTTTAACCACCCTGACAGTTAGGAACTTTTTCCTAATGTCCAGCCTAAACCTCCCTTGCTGCAGTTTAAGCCCATTGCTTCTCGTTCTATCCTTAGAGGCTAAGGTGAACAAGTTTGCTCCCTCCTCCTTATGACACCCTTTTAGATATCTGAAAACTGCTATCATGTCCCCTCCAACTCTTCTCTTTTCCAAACTAAACAAACCCAATTCTTTCAGCGTTCCTTCATAGGTCATGTTCTCATTCTTGTTGCTCTTCTCTGGACCCTCTCCAATTTCTCCACATCTTTCTTGAAATGCGGTGCCCAGAACTGGACACAATACTCCAGTTGAGGCCTAACCAGTGCAGAGTAGAGCAGAAGAATGGCTTCTCATGTCTTGCTCACAACACACCTGTTAATGCATCCCAGAATCATGTTTGCTTTTTTTGCAACAGCATCACACTGTTGACTCATATTTAGCTTGTGGTCCACTATAACCCCTAGATCCCTTTCTGCCATACTCCTTCCTAGACAGTCTCTTCCCATTCTGTATGTGTGAAACTGATTGTTCCTTCCTAAGTGGAACACTTTGCATTTGTCTTTGTTAAACTTCATCCTGTTTACCTCAGACCATTTCTCCAATTTGTCCAAATAATTTTGAACTATGACCATATCCTCCAAAGCAGTTGCAATCCCTCCCAGTTTGGTATCATCTGCAAACTTAATAAGCGTACTTTCTATGCCAATATCTAAGTCGTTGGTGAAGATATTAAACAGAGCTGGTCCCAAAACAGACTCCTGCAGAACCCCACTTGTTATGCCTTTCCAGCAGGATTGGGAACCATTAATAACTACTCTCTGAGTACGGTTATCCAGCCAGTTATTGTATTTGCCTAGTTTATTGATAAGAATATCATGTGAGACCGTATCAAATGCCTTACTAAAGTCTAGGTATACCACATCCACTGCTTCTCCCTTACTCATAAGACTCGTTATCCTATCAAAGATTTGGGGATCTCCCTCAAATCCTCAGCCATAAAGACTGATGCAAAGAATTCATTTAGTTTCTTCTGTCAAAGTCAGACTCAGGACTCACAATTTGTCAGACCACTCTGTTTATTAGCAAAAGCGCTCTGCTAATACACCCAGAAAATGTGAGTGCCATACGAGGCTCAAACCACCTTATTTATACAGATAAAAGGGCGCGATATTAACAAGATTACAAAGGGAGCAGAACTAATAAATTTACCTGGAGCTAGACACATATTTCTTGTCCTTATTTACTCTCACCAATCTCCTGTTAATGTCCCACCATCAGCTTAAGTGGACCCATTCTTCAATACCTTAATGTTCCTCTTCCTGACAACTTTATCTCAACATTCCTCATTCCTGCTTAAAGAAACATACAGCATTTGTTTAATTCATTCTACTTCTACAACATAATTCATTCTACTTTCACACTCCACAATGTGCTTATCATCCTTGAGTACTTCTTTAGCATCTCGATCATCCAGTGGCCCCACTGACTGTTTAGCATGCTTCCTGCTTCTAATGTACTTAAAAAACAATTTGCTATTACTTTTTGAGTCTTTGGCTAGTTGTTATTCAAGTTATTTTTTGACCTTCCTAATTATATTTTTACACATCATTTGCAAGATTTTATGCTCCTTCCTATTTTCCTCACTAGGATTTAACTTCCACCTTTTAAAGGATGCCTTTTTGCCTCTCACTGTTTCTTTTACTTTGTTGTTTAGCCACGGTGGCACTTTTTTGGTTCTCTTACTATGTTTTTTTAATTTGGGATATACACTTAATTTGAGCCTCTATTATGGTGTCTTTAAAAAGTTTCCATGCAGCTTGCAGATATTTCACTTTTGGCACTGTACCTTTTAATTTCACGAATGTCCTCATTTTTCTGTAGTCCCCCTTTCTGCTGTGTGTTTTGGGGGTTGTTCGCTCTTGGGACTAAGAGGGACCAGACATCAATCCATGCTCTCCAAATCTTCTGAACAAGTCTCTCATATTTCAAACTTGTAAGTAACTGACAGGCAAGGCGTGTTAGGTTTATCTTTGTTTTCTCAACTTGTAAATGTTCCTTTTGCTAGAGTGTTTATCTCTGTTTGCTGTAACCTTGAACTTAAGCTAGAGGGGGTTCCTCTGGGCTCTTTGAATCTAATTACCCAGTAAAGTTATTTTCCATCCTGATTTTACAGAGATGATTTTTACCTTTTTTTCTTTAATTAAAAGCCTTCTTTTTAAGAACCTGATTGATTTTCCCTTGTTTTAAGATCCAAGGGGGTTGGATCTGGACTCACCAGGAATTGGTGGGGGGAAAGGAGGGGGAATGGTTAATTTCTCCTTGTTTTAAAATCCAAGGGTTTGGATCGGTGTTCACCAGGAAATTGGTGAAGAAGTTTCTCAAGGCTACCCAGGGAAGGGAGTTAGCACTTGGGAGTGGAGGCAGCAAAACCAGATCTAAGCTGGTAATTCAGTTTAGAGGTTCTCATGCAGGTCCCCCACATCTGTACCCTAGAGTTCAGAGTGGGGAAGGAACCTTGACAGTGGCACTCAGGGGAAGTTGTGCAGATAGCTTGTTATCTGAGGAGAGAATGACAATCCAGGGACTGGGAGATTGGAATTGGGGTGTGCGACTGGGAAACTGGGAAAGGAGGAATTGTTACAGGGGCATTAAACAAGAAGGAAGCAATGGTTGGGATGGAGAAGGAGGGGTTGATCTCACTGGCACTATGACACATTCCAAGTGGAAAACAGGAGGATTCCAGGTCTGAACAGAGGTTGGGGGATTTGATGTTTTTAAACACCAAATTCTGCAGCCTAATCCCAGGAACCTGTGAGATGCAATGGGGATCAAACCCAATATCATATAGGGCCACTTTGTCCCATGCTGACAGTGGATATGTTTGGGAATCAAAACTCCTTTTTATCAGTAGAGAAAATCTAATGTTGTATAGTCAGGGGATGTAGCATGACAGAGAGCAAACACACTCACGCTTTCCTAGAGACTTGTTTTCTTTCTTGGTTTGCTCTTTAAAAAAAAATCTAAAATAGAAGGTTATTTGGTAAGGATCAAATATAGGACCTTGAGTATCACAGCCCAGGACTGTAATTCTTTTTGTTTTGTACTGTGCCTTGCACAATGGGGTACTGGTCCATGAATTGAGGGTTTAGGAACTACAATTATATGAAGAAGAATGAGCAGTCCCTCTATTAGCTCACTAATTGAGTTTGTGTCACTATAGAAAAAGTGGAAGAATGAATTAGATTTACAGGTTCTTAGAACTTATTTGTCAAAATATTTCAAAAGTTTGTATTTCTGCTTTTGTTCATAGAAATCTACAGCATTTAGAGAGAACAAAAAGAGGCTGGAATTTGCAAAGGAGCCTAATAGAGTTAGGTGCCAAAATTCTATTCAACTGGAGTTGAATGCATAACTACCATTACTTTTGGGGGATCCAATTCCCATTGAATGGGATTTGGGTGCCTACTTCTTTTAGGCTCTCAGTCAAAATGAATTGCCCACATTTATACATAGAGTCTCTGTGGGAGTTATGAACAGATATCTGCTCTTTGCAGCAGAATGCAAAGAGTGAGGAGCCCTGGATGTTAGAACATCTTCTCCCCAGTGTTCTCCTCAGAGCCCCTTTCATCTCCTCTTTGCTAAGGCTGTAGATAATGGGGTTCAGTGTAGGCATGAGAACAATGTATAACAGAGCAGATACTCTATCACTGTCCCCTCCATAACTCGACTTCGGTCTGAAATAAATAAAGCTGCTAGAGCCAAAGAACAGTTACCACCACCAGATGAGAGGAGCAGGTGGAGAAGGCTTTGCGCCTGCCTTCAGCAGAAGACATTTTGAGGATGGTGACCATGATGTGGGCATAAGGCACAAGGATCAGCAGGAAGGGAGCCATGACTACCAGCACGGCCACCACAAATATATCCATCTCGTTCAGGTAGGTGTCAGCGCAGGCCAGCCTCAGCAGAGGGGGGATGTCGCAGAAGAAGTGGTGTATCTCCTTGGGCCCACAGAAGGGCAGACTGAATATCAGTGTGGTCTGCCCAAAGGAGACGGGGATGCCGGCGACATAGGACCTGGCCACCAGCAGAACACAGACTCCGTTGCTCATGATGGTGGTGTAACATAGTGGGTGGGAGATGGCCACGTAGCGGTCATAAGCCATGGCTGCCAGGAGGTAGCACTCTGCTGTGGTGAAGAAGAGATAGAAATACAGCTGAGTGGTGCAGCCAATGAAGGAAATACTCTTCTTCTCCGCAAGCAGGTTGGCCAGCATCTTGGGGATGGTGATTAAGGTGTAGCAGATCTCCAGGAAAGACAGGTTCCAGAGGAAGAAATACATGGGGGTGTGGAGGGTCCGGTCCAGTGCTGTGATGAGCATGTTCCCCATCAGTGTGATAGTGAAGGAGGTCAGCACCAGCACAAAGAGCAACACCTGCATCTCCAAGAGATTGGAGAATCCCAGGAGGATGAAATATGTCACTACAGTGTGGTTTCTGCCTGGCATCTCTGCAAGATCCTTCGCTGGCAGATGCAGGGAAGTTATCTAAATAATAGGGAGGAACGATAGATGTATAATCCACCAAATCCTCCCTCATTCTTTCATAGATTCTAGTCTGACTTCCTGCATATCATAGTCCAGAGAACTTCCTGAAATTATTTCTGTTGTAACAGCAGCAAAAATATTTTTACAAAAACATCCTGTCTTGATTTAAAATCTTGCTAGTGATGGAAAATCCACCACAGTCCTTGGTAATTAGTTCCAATCCATGCCTTATTTCCAGCCTGAACTCGTCTTGCTTGAACTTCCATATCCAAATGTCTGGTTAGATAGAAAACAATTTATCTCCATGGGCTTTCTTCTCGCACCTATTTCCTTTTCCTATTGAAATGTATCCTTGATCAATACTTATCCCCATCAATATGTATGAATCTGCCTACCCAGATGCACACTGTTATGGGTTAAACCTTATTGAAGCTAGTGGCTGTAATAGCCACATTGCATTCAAGATAAATATATTAAAAAGTTGAGCTCCTTTATGAAATAGACAGCTGAAACAATAGAGGCCTCTCCCCAAAACAAAGCCATATGCAAGGCTGGTGTAGGAGTTAGCCAGGCAGCCCAAGGGTTGGGGGTTCCACTGTGATCCAATCCTAAAGTAAGGGGTGAGGTATGGGTTTGATTGGATCAGTGTATCTGTGCATGTGAGACAGAGATTGTGAGAAACATCACAGAAACAAAGACCAAGAAGGCGCAGAAACCTAGGGACACAGTGGAACAAGGAGTGCAAAAAAAAAAAGAGGGAGAGCGAGCTTTTGGACACAGTGCTGGCTGGAAGGCAGTTTGGAACAGCGAGCAAAGAAACTGTCTAGTGTGTTTTGATTCCTGACTCTAATACTGATTTCTGCTCCAAATCGAGACAACCGAATTTTCATTTACCACTTGGGTCCAAAACGGGTAATAAGAGTACCCATCTCTCTCTTCCCATGGATGCTTGTCTATCTACATGTATGTTTTTCTCTCTATGAGCGTCTCTACACAGCAAGTTAGTGCATGGCAAGCCAGGGTGTGAATATAATGTGCACCAGCTTGCTGCGCAGTAACTCAATAGGTTGACCCTGCTACACGGCACTAAATGTTCCATAGTGCGTTTTGACATCCTCTCATTTGCAATGGGAAACTTTCAGTGCACTGTGGCAGGATTCACCTGGCAAGTTACTGCTTGGCATGCTGGTAAGCAGGAGATTCACACCCTGTCTTCATACACACTCTCTTGCTGTGTAGACAAGCCTTATTTATCTCTCTAGATAGCCTTTTATGGCATATCATCGTCCGTCTCTTTCTCAGCTCAGATGAATCAACCGCAATTTAATTTTTGTTGTACCAACAACAGGCTGATGTGAAAAGAGCCATTCTGTTCAGCCAAGTTGGAGTTCTCTGAACATTGATTTATTAAGAGAGCTCTATTCGCCAGGCATTATAGAAAGTGTATTTCTCCCAGTCTTCTTGCCATCTGTCCTGGTTTGTCTGCTCTCCAACTATGGATCATCCCTCTTCCCCCTAGTCCAGGACTGCAGTGAAAGGAAGAGTGACCATAGAGGCAAAGTGAAACCGAAAAGGTGACTGCATCCTGAGGTCAACTGCTCATTTAGAAAATAAAAAAGGACAGGAGGGGTCTGTAGGACAGTGATTTTCAACCTTTTTTCATTTGCAGACCCCTAAAATATTTCGAATGGAGACGCAGACCTCTTTGGAAATTTCAAATATAGTCTGTGGACCCCCAGGGGTCTGTGGACCACAGGCTGAAAACCACTATTCTATGGTAACAATCTTTCACTGACCTCTTAGACATATTCAGTGGCCCCACAGGGATCCGGAGAATACAGATTGAAAACCACTGATTTAGGAGATATAGGTTTGGCAGTATTTAACTTTTTTATGTATAATTTTGATGGATAATATCAACGCTTATTTTCCAACTTTTTTCATTTTTATCTATTACAATTTTTGTTGTGGGAAATTATTGGGGTGTGTGTCAGGCACTAATTATTTAATGACGCAGGAGCATAGCTGGGGGGAAGCAGGGGGAGCGGCCGCTCCACCACTGAGCATATTCACCAAAGGTGGCACCTTGCCGCCGACGACTCTGGGTGCTCCGGGGTTGGAGGGAGCGCCCACGGGGAAAGCCCAGCCCAGCTCCCCGGCTCACCTCCATTCCGCCTCCACTCCGCCTCCTCCTCCTCCTCCCCTGAGTGCCGCATTCTGCTTCTCCTAGGGTGACCAGATAGCAACTGTAAAAAATCGGGACAGGGGGTGGGGGGTAATAGGAGCCTATATAAGAAAAAGCCCCCAAAATCGGGACTGTCCCTATAAAATCGGGACATCTGGTCACCCTAGCTTCTCCCCTGCCCTGGCTCCCAGCGCTTGCCCTACGAAATTGATTCGTGGCAAGCCTGGAAGGGAGGGAGGAGGGGAGGAGGGGGAACGCGGCACGCTGGGGAAGAGGCAGGGCAGGGGTGGGGATTTGGGGAGGGGTCCAATGGGGCAGGGACGGGGCGGAGTTGGGGTGGGGCAGGGGGCAGGAATTTGGGGAGGAGTCCAATAGAGGCAGGGAGGGGGCATACTCGGGGCAGGGCAGGGTTGTTCTTCGGCAGCAGCCCCTTGACTCACTCCAGGTCTTCGGTGGCACGTTGGTGGTGGGTCCTGCAGAGCCGCCGATGACCCAGAGCGAGTGAAGGGCCCACCGCCAAAGACCCGGTAGGGAACCGGCCAGTGAGTACAAGCCCCCTGTCCTCCCCATCCAACCCCCTGCCCCCCCTCAGAACCTGCAACCCATCAACCCCCCCTTGTCCCCTGACCACTCCCTCACGAGACCCCCCAGGACCGCAACCTCTACCCAACCCTCCCTTCCCCATCCCCTGACCACCACCCCTAGAACCTCCACCCCCTCCAACCGCTCCCTGTCCCTTATCCAACCCCTCCTCCCAGACCCGGCCCGGCCCCCTTACCATGCTGCTCAGGGCAGCGTGTATGGATGCCGCACGGCCCACTGGAGCTCGCAGCCCCACCCCCTTACCATCCCACTCGAAGTGGCAGGAGCTGCAGAGCTGCCCAGGAGCGGTCCAGTGCGCTGGCGGCATGGCACGCTGAGGCTCTACGAGAGGTGGGAAGGCAGGGGAGCCTCCCCAGCTGGGAGCTCAGGTGGGCCGGATGTGGCCCGCGGGCCAGTGTAATGACAGAACAACCTCCCTCTCCCAATTGCCCACCCCTTTAACAACCGCTTCTAAACCAGCTTCTAAATTTAACAACCCGTTCAGGCGAACTGGCTCCAGCTCACCACTGGATACAGGTACCTCCAAATAATTTTTGAGCAGTGTCATTTTCTTCTGGACAAGCTTCTGACACCCCCTCCATGCACTTGAGTATCAAGTTTTCCTTGGCATTTGGAGTGGGGGCTGAAGGAAGGGGAACGATGACCCCTCGGGTTTGTTTCAGCAACACTAATTGGTGTGTGGTGGGGGAGGCAGAGTTGTAGGAGAGAGATCTTTATTGGGCACGCTGAGGCTGCAGAGTTTGTGGGAGGTGCCTGGCCCCCGCTTGCGTCCCTGAGCCCCTGGTGACACAGCCAACAAGGTTTTCCGGAAACATGGCCCTCTTTGGCCCAGGTCAGGGGGAGATGCTGCTGTCTTGGGTCTGGACTAGAACAGTTCAGAAGCGTTCTTGTAGATAAATCTCTGATAAATTTCATATGACTTTACATTGTGCCTCTTCATATAACCTTGTGGTGGGTCTACCCAC